GCCATGACTCCCTTTTGGAAGGCGCTTCCATAATTCTACTGCATATTCACTTGATGTTGCTGCTGAAGAGCCGAGCTATCTTCTAGCAAAAGAATAGGAATTTGTGGTTCTCTACAAAATGCCAATTAATGTCATTAAGGTAAATGGGGCTTTCGATGCAATAGTTCAAGTCCATAAAAGAGATGATAGACACAGAGGTCTCAAAACGGAATAGACTAATTTTTTCAACTACCTTTGACAAACCAAATATGTATTATTAAAATAATTAGTTTTTTTTAGTGCTTGCATGGTCACAAATTTATCTGATCCCTTATTTTGTTATAACAAAAGTATTCTTTACTTCCCATGTGACTGTGGAGTTAATGGTGGTTTGAGGAAGTATTTGCACGTTTGGAAATGCATGATATTAAATAATGAGAATAATGCATTAAAATTAACTTTAAAATCGAAATAAATTGCAAACATTTGATAAAAATAATGATTTTATTCGGCGAAACTTTTGACACTAGAATACACTTCGTCAATATAATATCATGAAAATTCACTTCAGAAATAACAATAGCTCTCAGAACCCAGTCATTATGATTGTCTTGGTTAATTAGCAATGCCGAAATATGTTATCAGTCTGCTATGAAAAAAATATTCCACCATGAAAGTTCAAGTTCACCAATTTGGCCTCTTTCAGCTACATTCGTAACTTTTAAATAGTAAAAGTTCTTGTGTACTTTTGTATTTGAGGATTGGGAAGTGTAACAAATCCTACCATTTTTGAAAACTCTCGAATCTGTGTTTACATTGATTTAAATAAAATTTTAATCAAGTAAGTGCAGAATTGAAGGCCAATAAATTTAGGCAGTATTTTAAAAACATCATTAATCCTTAAGCTGATACTTCGAATAACTTTCGACAGAATTTTAAAATTTGCATAAGAGACGATAAATCTTACCAATTTTCCTCCGCTTCGGCAAAGATTTTAAGAATCCTTTTATGTTGAAGCGTTCGAAGCATCTCTATCTCCTTGCGACAAACGCCCAAGTTAATCTCACTCTTTCGCAATTTTTCTGTCTTGTCCGGAGCTATCTTGGTTAGAACAAAGGCCGAGCAATTCTAAAAAATGTTAGACAACACATAGTTGAGATTGGCGTCTGGTATTTCCAAACATCAAAATAGGTCTGATTATTATAGAGTAAGATTTTTCAACCTCTTCTAGTACAAGCGATTTCACAACAAAAAATCCAAAATTATGTTACCTACCTCCAAAGATTCTTGAATTTGGGCTTCATAAACCTGCCAGCAGTTTTCAAGTCCAGCGGTGAATTCCGATTTGCCTAAAATGGCAATTTTGTGAAGGGGTTCAGGAATTTCCTTCATTTGTGGTTGATAACGACGTGGGTTTATACGTGACATTTCGGGCATTTCCAATCACCACAAAATCAGTTCCATCTAAAATAATTATAGAGAAAAATTAAATTCATATTTTAAATTTTTTAAGTCTTTCTAATTTTTCCTATATTGATGAATATTACAACATTCAAGAGCAATTATTTCAAAATATATATAACGAGATCCCATTAACTACTGGGATTTCATTGCGTTCAACGATAAATTACACATGTTGATTGAATTATCAAAGTAATTCTCAACTGAAATGAATAGTAGTAGAGCGTAGATGAGGAAATGGCCAATAGTTACGAAATAAACTTGTAAATTTTATCCTCTAATCCCAAAATTTTTTTAATTATGCATAGTTTACTCTTGCTATGGATACAATTCCAACATTTTCTTTCAAATTTCATTTTATTATCCTGTGTTTCAAGGAAGAATATTATCAGATCCTTTTAGAGCAATACTCAATTTTCACTTTCCACTGCAATATTTTGGTGAATAGCTAAAACATGAACCATTATATCAGGCAAATAACTAGTGTTAAGGTTGACAATTAATCTTAATCTACTTTGATATCACTTGCATCTCTTCCTCCCTCACTGTCTCCCTCTCCCTTTCTCTGCTTGCATTCAATCACAACCCCTTTGAGTGGACAATGTCAACCAGTATTCTTATCATAATTTAATCTCTATATGCCCTCATATTTAATTTATAATATGCATTTGATTAATACAGGAGATAATGCATGCTCTATGACTACCAATCTGATGGAAATCTTTGATTAAAACCTGTTTAATTAAATCAAATTGCTCTTACCAGATTTTGTTTTTTTTATTATGTGGAGGAAGGGGAGGGTTTGGGTATAAAACAGTATAAAATGAAATAAAAATTGAAAGATAAATGCATTTAAGATGTTGATGAGATAGATGGCGTTATTATTACGTACGAGTTTCCTTTGAATAAGGTAGAAAATGCAGCCAAACAACTAAACGAACTCTGTATTTATGATTCCAGATGATACCGGATGAATCGTTAACTAAAAGATAAGTCCTTTGTATTTAATATTTGAGTAAAATAAGATAGAATGATGTATGAAAACTGGGACGATGCATATGCACGCCAGCTAAGTTGAAAATAGTAATCATATTCCTTTTCTGAATGGCCAATTGAAAACACCCCTCAACGATTGGTCAATCAATTAAGGTTGAGACCAATCAACGCGGGCCATGTAATTGTCTTTTAGAACAGATATTTTTATTGCTGTCATTACAATTAAATTCGTGATTTCTGTTTTAAAAATGGTGACAACTTTATGACCTGGGATGAATATTTTAACTGGGAAGTCGGTGATTTACATTTTATCCCCTTGTCCTTCCCAAGTAAGCTTAATAAAACACATTGATCTCATCGATAATCTGTTTATTAATAATAAGATTAATTAAATAAATTAAGGGGTTTTAACTCAAGCAGCTTTTCAACTTAGAACTTAAAAGTCAAAACTCAATAATACTACATGCATAAGTTCGCATCCCAATGAATTCATTTTTCTAAGATAAAAAGCATTTATCGTTATTCAGTAATGATTCGCGGAAAATAAAATTTTAGGAGCGAATTTGCCTAATATTTTCCTAATCTTCAAAATAATTACCACTATCATAACACCCATTCAATAAAGACTACCATCTAAACTTTGGCTACATTTATTTAGTCTAAAACAATATGGATTAGATAAAATTGGTATAGAACTTGCAAACCTATGAAAGTAATATGACTTTGATCATAATATGTGACTTCAGGTCAATAGGCCGTAAGAGTAACCAGCATTTGGAGTTCAGATAAAATCAACTTTTATTAAGCAGTGCAAAATCTAAGGTTATCATCTCAAACAATTCATCTATTTACTTGTTTGTAACGAATTCCCTAAACCTGGCTCGTCATACTTATTGCCTTCGCTAGAGCATTTGTTATGATTCTTCCACTTGTCGCCTGAGAGCACAGATAGCTTGAGGCGACATCATGTGGGATGCACTGGGCAGTTCAAATTCTTTTCAATGTGCCTACTATTTTAGATTTAATATTCCTTATCATTTATAAACTAAGCCATCATATTTCATATTTCAATGCAGTATCGTAAAGTACACACTTGATCCAAACTGCTCCTCAATTAGAAAATGCTTTCGAGAGTAAGATCTTAGGAATTAATCGTAATAATTCGACTGATTAAATGCAATTAAACTCCAAAACATGAACAGTACAATGCTTGGATGTTAACTCAATATACCACAATTAGTAATCACGGGGCTTTTTGTTCCGTTTTCATCTTCCACACGACACCTAAGCTAAACTGGAATTTTTTTCTACACATTGAATAATAAAAGAGTTCTAATTACCCAAAAACATAAATCTATGATGGAATTTATGATTTAAAATAGCTAAACTTATTCACTCCTGCAAAAATATGCTAATAAATCAAGAAGAAAATTTGATGTCGCGTCACGATTTAGATGAGGGGTTATAAGGGACGACAACACCGCTCCTTAGATACAATTGGAATGAAAATTCACAGGTTGGAAATTAGGGTTCTTTTTATATAACTGCCGGTGTCGTTAGCTCTAAGTATGTTTTGATTGGTCAAAAAAATCTTTAAAGCCTAATAATACAGAAATTTTAGGCTCAAATGAAAAAATTTCTTAGTCAAGTATAACAAATCACTGACGTTTTTCCCAATTATTGGAAAAAATTGACAAAAATAATATTTTTTCGTAGTTATAGGGCTTAGAAATTGGCTTAAATTTTACTAATCCAACAATTGTGTTTAAATTTGCTCTCCGAAATGAATTCCCAAGACACTAGTCCTCACTACTAATCGGATATGACATTATTTACAGTCATTCCAAAATAACAAGGTAAGAACGTGATTTTTCTTAGAAGTGCTTGGAGCCCCTTGTTCGGTTTGAAACCATTTCCTTGCCGCAATAATATTTGCGCAATTTTTGCAGTAATTTATATTGATTGCAAAGATTCTTGAAGATATGTGTATTGGCATCTTATCAACAATAAATACTAATTAAAAGAAAAAGGGGTCATATTGAGGAGTCTAGATGTTTAATTAGTTCTTTTGCAAAGCTGAAATTAGATAATGAGTGGCAGATAATAGAGGGGAAGACGGGAGATAATTGGCGCGTAACAGAGGTAGAAAGTGTGTGGGAGACCTTCTTCTAATTCGATTATCGATTTAATGGAAATATTGTTCATATCCATTTGTCATATCGATTTAATTTAACCGAATAATTGCAATATTTTTATGAAAATTTCTGACTTTAGTAATAGAATAGAATAATTATATTAAAAAATATCCTTCAAGTAAAATGCAATCACTAAAGTGGATTTTCACTTTCAGTAACGCCAAACATAATTTAGTTAACGCATTTGGGATTTTTCAAGCACGCTTCACATACAGGCAGGTAAAAATATCACCAACACCCGTTTTTTTAATTTAATTATAGAGTATTTGCCTGCTTTCTTCGCTCGTCAACAGAGAAGGCAACTGAGGCGCCTAATTTCACTAAGAAACTCATCTAAATAACCTCTAAATGTGCCTAATTCAGGATAAACGTAACCCTTTGTTCTAAATCAAGTTAGAAATGGTCATGAACTATTCAGGTATTCTTAAGCGTAAAATGGTAAATGGGCCTTAAACGGAATTCAATTAGGCGGGTGAATTGTATTATGCCCTCACCCCATTCTATTCATTTTATCATGCAATATTTCCATTTTCCTGTTAATGACACCTTTGATACAAGCAATTGTTAACTGGCATTCCAGATCAAGCGGGCCAAATATATGAAGACCTTAATAACCACAAACAAATTTAAAATTTTTATTTTCAAATGAAAAGAGGAAGGCAGATCACTGTCGAAATATTCAACTGTCAGTCGGCTAAAATAAAGACAATAGTATAGTAAAAGAATTTTCAAGTAGTTTAAGAGATTTGAGCGAATGCTTACCAGTCTGTAGAATATTGGGCAACGAGATCATTTTCCAAGTCAGTTCTCAGGAGAAAGGTACCAAAGGAGATTGAAGATTGTAATTATCTCGTAAAATCAAATCTAGAATATCTTCCTTCATATTAAAGACAGCGCATATTTTATATATTTTATATTGATCATTTGCATAAAAATTACATGTTTATATTTTTTCTAATTAAAAATTTTTCATACTTCAGTTGCAATCAGTAAAATTAATGCAACAATTTCTAAATGTTCAGATTATTTTTTAATTAGTACAATTCTCAACTTTCACCGGCTAGACCAAGCTAAGGCTTAAAGGTATTTTGTGTATTTATCAAGAATGAAATTTTACAGTCAATTTTTTTCCTCCTAAACAATTACACATAACTGGCAGAAGTAATTTAATTGGACTGATTTACTTAATTAGCATTAAATATTAATGCTATTATGTTTTTTTTTATTTTCAGGCAAATAGTTGATTAGTAGATGAATGCTATGAGTACACGTAAACTAGTTTGCATTGGGGATAGACGCTCACTTGAAACTTTAAAACGCCCTTAGGACTGTGTAGTCCTCTTTTAAAATATCCTCGTTTGTATCTGACTTGTAACGCAAGGCGCTATTGCCGTCTGCAACATGTTCAATACGTCTACTGAATTCGTGGGGCAATAGTCTGCTGTGAGACACGCGTGACTGTGGTTGAGTGCATTTTTTTCAAAAAAATAATAATTCAGGCATTAAAGAGTTAATAATTAAATAGGTATTTTACTTTGGAATGATTAAATAGCTAAAATGCACGAGAACTATGTGTGATCGAAAATAAATAGTTCCATGGTGATTCACCGTCTGTAGATATCAGTTTTTGAATTCAAATTGATTCCTTTTTGCAAAAGACGGAAACCCAAGCTTTTTTCCTCAAGGCGGACTCGTCTGAGATCTTTTTGAAAAGGAATTACAGTGGGACGGAGTACTTGTGCCATATTCTATTGAATTTCCAGTTGACTTAATAGTTGGAAAATT